ACCAACTCCTGAGGGGCTGGGGATGAATTCAGCTTTATTTGCTGAAGCAGTCATAGGTTTTGCAGCTGCCCCATCACCAGCCCGCCCCAGGCTGACCAGTCCTGTGACAGCCGAGGGACACAGCTGTCTGCACGTCACTGCAGGGTAGGGGACCTCGGTCACCCTCCCAGCAAATGCTGCGCTCACTCTTGATGCCCACCAAGGCTGGCAGTGTCCAGGGATGACTGTGGCCCCAGCCAGCAAGGTATGGTGCGACACCACCGGGCTCCCCTGCTCCCAGCAGCGGAGCAGAGGGCCTATTGTCACCCACCCAGACAGCTGTGACCCATGCAAAGCTCGTGTCCAACACCAGCAGCCCCTCAAACATGAGCTGTGCCCGATCTCATGCCTTCCCTCCCACTCCCAGCCCTGCCGCTTGCCCCCAGGCTGACCCACGCCAAAGGGAGCCAGGGATGGTCCCCTGGTGTGCTGGGGAGAATGGGACCAAGGCGATCCCAGCCCAGTGTGCACAGGCTGGGATAGGGCACTTGGAGGCAGGATTGCTCCACAGCCTTTCCCAAGCACAACTTGCCAGGCCCAGTGCACTGCAGGCTCCTGCCTGGACTTTGAGCGGGACATAGTCCCTCTGGGACAGGTTACAAGCAAAGGACTCAGGAGGGCTGTGACAGCACCCCAGCCATGGATCCATCTAAAAGCCTGCTGGAAATGCAAAGGAGAGCAAAAAACTGCATCCTCTCCCTTCCACAAGAAAGGCAGCCTGAGAGGTTCCCTCTTACCATTCAGGATGCATCCCAGGACCAGGAGACTGAGGCAGAGAAGATGCAGCAGCTGCATTTTGCTGCTAAGTCTGGCCGAGGATGGGCTGGAGGTGACGGTGCTTCAGGCAGGAGAGGTGAACTCTGCTCAGCTTCCCTGCGCTCTGCTGCTGGTGCTCCCCACTGCCTATTTATCCTTCCAGCCCATGGCTTTCACTTTCTTTTGGAGAAGAGGGGTGGGAAGTTGCAACAAGTCTTGCCACAGGCTGGATTTTAATCTTTGAGCAGTTCCCGAATATCCCGGCTGCTTTCCCTGCAGCCAGCTGCTCCGCGGTCCCAGAGCCAAACACCCTCCTGCCCTGTCTGCTGCAGGCAGCCAGGCCACAGGGGCTGCTGGTCAGGGTCAGAGCAGCTCCAGGGTCCCTTCACCCTGCAAAAACACCTGGACAAACATGTGGGCAGTCTCACCCCATACATTTCCCGGTCCTTTCTCCAAAACATCTCTGGGATGTTCCCATTAGATATCACATAGGCTCAACCCAGAGATGCTGGGGGTAGAACTTGCCCCAGCCCCATTTGGGGGGTTTATATTGGTACTGGGGTGATGCCTGGCTCCCCCTGAGCTCCCCCCATCTGGTTGCAGGATCCTGGCCAGCTCCCCCTGCTCTCCCCACTGCCTGCATAGGGGGGCACATCCGAAGCTGGCGGATGGAGGAGAGCTCAGCCAGCGTGTTTCACTCCGGGGCTGCGATCCCACATGTCAGAAGACAACCTGGTTTCCAGGTGTCCCAGCAAATGGGCTGACGGCCAAAGGCAGCTACAGAGCTTCCTGGAAACAGGTTTTCTCGGCACAGGAGCAGAAATCCCCCGCAGAGGATGTGTGCACAGTGCAGGGTGCCAGCAGCTCACCGGCTGCGTGGGC